GACCGTTGACCGAAAAGATAAGTGCACTTTGGTGACATAGGTGACCAAATCAATTCTCTTAAACCTCTCTGCATGCAACACCATATTCCTGAAACCGGGGTGTTACAATTCACCCCCACTAACAGATCGCCACGTCCTCGTTGCGCACCAAGACTGTCACCCCCGGCGGTGTGAGCCCTCTTGACCCTACACTCGCCTGGGTTCGGCTTTGATACCACTTGTAACGCTCCGACCGTCCCTACCAGTAGGTCCCACATTCTCTCTCGGGCCCATTGGCCCACCCCTGTCCGGCGGCCGGTCCGCTACGTCCTGGAGGCTTTAAAGACTTGTTTGCCGACCCTACAAATCACCACATGATCTTTCCCTGTGTTTTGTCCTCACTCACACAGTTCCGACAATCACTTCCCGGAAGGTCACCCATCTTGAAATTGCACCAGCTCAAGCACCCTTAACTGTGGAGTTCTCTCAGGACCGTTGACCGAAAAGATAAGTGCACTTTCGTGACATAAGTGGCCAAATCAATTCTCTTAAACCTCTCCGCATGCACCATCATATTCCTGAAACCGGGGTGTTACAGATGTGATCTTCATCTTTGTTAGGAAATGTAATTAAAATAGCGGATGAACAAACCATCTCTCTCCTCTAATAAAATAAAGGTCATCTCTTTTTTTCAATCTTCTACTTAAAAGTTTTGTGTGATTCTTCTTATCATGAAACAATAACATATGCACGTTTCTACAAACCTACCGACTAACTTTCTTTTAAGAAAGCTCGCCGGTGATTTTGATATATCGTCACCAACTACCCGAACAGTTTTAAAACGTAGTATCTGGGTATGAGCTGACGAAAACCCTCATCAATGTATTTATACGGAATCAAGAGGCAGTGAAAACTTTAGAAAGTTTTTCTTTAACTCGACGATATCTATAAGAAAAAGAGTAATTCAATGATGATATATACACGTCATTATCAACTTATTTTTAAAAAAATATTATGGCCAGAAAGATATGTTAAGCCTTTTTATATGAACTTTTAATTTGAAATATATTGTATTAAAATTTATTAAAAAAAAGGAATTTTGGTAAAATATAACCATATATAATATTGAAATCTATAATTTACATTTTTCTTATTTCTTCTATATGTTGTTGTTTAAAATTTTCACATTTCTCTTCTTTCCATAAATTTTTTTATCTTTTCTTTTCTATTAATATTTTAATATAGAAAATATTAGAATTTAAAAATATTTATTAATGAGATGGAAAAGATATTAATTAGTGAGATGACTAATCACAATTGGTCGTTTAATATCCCATATGGACAACTTTAGAAGGTTATAACTTCTTATTTTCATTTCTTAAAAGATATTAATAAAAAATATATATGAACTTTTAATTTAGTATATATTGCATCAACATTTGCTTTTAAAAAAAAAAGAGTTTTGGTCAAATATAGCCAAAGATTTTATCGAAATATATAATTTACATTTGTCTAATTTCTTTATATTGTTGTTTCAAAATTCATATTTGTCACCTTTCTATATATTGTTTTTCTATTCCTTTGAATTAATATATTAGTATAGAAAATATTAGAACTAAGAAATGTTAATTAATGTAATGGTATATACTTTACATTTGTCTTATTTCTATATGTTATTGTTTCAATACTTCACATTTGTCATTTTTCCATATATTGTTTTTCTTTTCCTTTTTATTAATATATTAATATAGAAAATGGTAGAATTTAAAAATAAATTAATAATAAGACTATTATGATTAACTAAAATTTTATATTTAGAATTTTGTACACATTTCCAGTATTTTCGTTTTTATAAATGTAATAAACTTTGAAAAAAAAAACTTTACATTTTGATTAATTAATTTATTTTATATATTTCCATATAAAATATTATATCTAGAAAGTTTTCCATATTTTCATATATTTCTCTTATTTTCATATGCTACTTTTTCCTTTTCTAAAAAATCTTAATATAGAAAATTAATAAAACCTAAAAATGCTAATTAATGAGGTGTCTTATCTCGATTGGTCGTTTAAAATCCCACGTGGACGGTTTCAGAAGCTTATAGCCTCGACTTTTATATAGTATAGACTAGGTTTTGGACCCACGCGTATTTTGGTGAAAATTATATATGATTGATGATAATTTTTAAATTACTATTAAAGCAAAATTTTCAGTTCAAATGCACAATTATAAAAATCAATAGTGTTTAAGAATAAAATCTTATCAAAAGAATCATGAATCAATCTTATTTTCTCATATTCAATTGGCCGCCAGTTGACAAAAAAAAAAAAATTGGCCGCCAACACCTATGTCTTCGTTTTCTCTTCACATTCATCGTTTTTTACTCTTCATATTCATTCTCATCATCTACATTGTCAATTTTTCATGGCCGTCGTCACCGTTACTTTCCGCTTCTTCGTTATACTCTTCCTCTTCCTCACTTTCCTCATTCTCTCTATCTTCTTCTATGTAAAACATTTATCATTATGTGGTCAAAAATAAAGCAAGAAATTTAAACTTACTAACATTAACCAAACATAGCTCTATAAGCCTATGAATTAACTACCCGAAACAACGTCGTTCATTTGACCTTCTAAACTCGAAATTTGACACCTATCTACCAAAAGTTCGTTCCACGTCTCCAGAATACTCTTACCAAATTTCAGATTATTCCGAGTACGTTTGGATATTCATGTCTCCACTTTGCTTGTTAGATCTGAAACTTTAAAAGAAATCTTCTCGAACAAGTTGAAGAAGCTTTCTTCTAAAAATCCGTTTAAATCTATATCCTACCATTAAACCTCAAGACAGTAATACCAGAAACCTCACCATCAAGTTTTAGCTACATATGAACCAAACGTTACAATAAAAAGGTCATGTTATAACTGTTTTCTCACTTTTCTTTTCCATGAATGATAATCCAAGTTTATCTTATGGTATCACGATCGAACATCTTCTCACGACAATGGCTTTCTCTCTATCTATCTATCTCTCTCTCGCTGGTCGCCAATCTATCCGCGTTTCTCTCTTTCTCCTTCATTTTTTACATGGAAAACAACCCTCTTTGCTACCTAGATTATGACGTCAATTATTTATAAAGCAAGAAAACTCTTATCAATTAAATGTATTACCTTTCTTACGTCTCTTCAATTCCCTTTTTTGATTGAAATTGGTACTCCAATAATAACAACTTTTTCTACAATTTCAACACAAGTCTTTATACCTTTTTGTCTGGTTAGATATCATCCAACTGAAGTATATAAAACCTAAGTTAAAAAAAAAACAGAATCACATAAGAAGTTACCTTATTAGCCATAGTTGTATCCACATTTTAACGTAAAACAATTTTTCCTATATTGGCCTAGACATCTTTTCCAAGAGAGATTTCTTGCATGGTCTTACATGTATGTTCTTCAACTTCCACCACCACCACCACTTCCTTAGATTTATTAGCATGTGGTACTTTTTGGGCACAAACAATTGATGCTGAATTCGTTAGAACCACTAAATAAGCTTTCAAAAGAATTTGTCTTAGAGTAACACAACTTGTTTCCCAGCGAACCTCCTGTAACCTCCAAGACCAGAATAATTGCCTATTTTCTCATAACATTTGTGTTATTCAAGACCAGCATAGCCACCACATGTACTAAATTATTGATACTTTCACACATATATATACTCGATTTAAGATCCACACGTTTTGAAACTTTTCAAACCAAAATCCTTAATGCTACAAAATTGTAAATTACTTGCGGAGGAAGCAACATGAACATGATCCCATATATAACTAATAAAACATATGTGCTTGTTGTTGACCCTTCTTCTGTTAAAGCAAAAAATTAACTCAAATAATCAAATCAAGGTCTTACGATTCATAACCGATATGAAAGAGTACAAACATCGACCAATGATGCTTGTCATCGATCCTTCTTGTTCTTGAAACCCAAAACTTTTACGCAAACAACATCAAATCATATATAACATCATACACAAACACATGTTTTAGGGTTTATCGGAAATATAAAACAGAAACAGCCCGACAAAGAGAGAGAAGTGCCAGTAGTGGCAAAAGCGATGAAAAATATAAAAAGAAGTGCCATTAAAAGTAGTAATCAACCCTAATTGTTACTAACAGCTTGAAATTTATAGCTTAAAACTTATAATCAAATCAGATGCCTCCGGTTATTATTTATATTGAAAAGATCTAGAGTTAATCGAATATGTTTTTTTTTTGTTAATATTCTATTTTTTGTTGGAAAATTAGAAGATTAACAAAATAAGAATATAAGTTTAACGTATTTCATATATTGTTTTTCAAAAATTTACGTTTGTTTTCTTGTATATATTGCTTTTCTTATTTCCATATGTTGTTTTTCAAAAGTTTAAATTTCTATTCTTTACAAATATTTCTTTATAAATTTAATTATCTTAAAAAATTTAAACTTGACATTTTGATTATAATTAGAAATATTTCTATAAAAATTTAAACTTGACATTTTGATTATAATTAGAAATATTTCTATATTTTCAAATAACACAAGATTAATATAATTAGAAATATTTCTATATTTTCAAATATTTCTCTTACTGTTTTTCTTTTTTTTTTAGACAAAACTTTAATATAGAAAATTATCATAATCAAAATATGTTAATCAGCGAGATGTCTAACCGCGATTGGTCGTTTAAAATCCTATGTGGACGCCTTTAGGAGCTTATAGCCTCGACTTTTATATAGTATAGATTTGATTTGCTTCGTAAAGTTACGGATATCCGGCCTACCAAAAAAAAAAGTTACGGATATCCGGATTTTTAAAATCGAATCAATCGAATAACGGATCGAAGCGAATCTAATGGATATTTTGTCGTGCCCTACCTCGTAGGCCAATATATATAGTTCCTTTTAAATAAAATAAAATCTTACGACTCTCTCTGTCCAAATTCACTGTCGATTTTTGGGATTCTAGGGCTTAGCGACGCCATGGGAAAACGTCAGAAGCAAGTCACCCACCGAATCAACTACCGAAGAGAAAACTCGAAGGAGATACCAATTGATCTCTTGATTGAGATTTTCTCAAGATTGTCCATGGCAGACATTGCTAGGTGTCGTTGCGTGTCCAAGCTCTGGTCTTCCGTACCGCGTCTTCGATATTTCACTGAACTATTCCTGGAAACATCTTCGGCTCGGCCGCGTATATTATTCACCTTCCCGCATAACGGTAAGCGGATCTTCTACTCCATATCTCAGCATCTACATTCAGAGCCGAGTCCGTTTCCTTTCGTTCCCTATTATCATATGTCTTTCCCCGAAGGTAAGGGTTTTTCCTATGACTATGAGATTCATGCCCCTGTACGAGGGTTTCTTTGTAGCAAATCTAGTAAGCCGATGATCTATAACCCTAGCACAGGAGAGTGCAAAACTTTACCCAGAGCGATGACAAAGAGGACTGAGATGAAAACCTATTTTGGGTATGATCCTATTGACAAACTATTCAAGGTGTTGTGTGTGTCCAAGGTATTGTTGGCGTCCGAGGATTTTGCATGTCGAGTTTCAACATTAGGAACAGGTGAAGTGTACTGGAGAATGATCGAATGTTCGATACCCCATAGGCCTTTACGTGGTGAGATATGCATCGATGGAGTTTTGTATTATGTAGCTGAGTGCACTGGAAATAAAATTCCACAACGTTATATGGTAGTTTGCTTTGATGTTAGGTCTGAAAAGTTCAAGTTTCTAGCTGTAGAACTTATAATTTGGTGTTCAACTCTGATAAATTGCAAAGGTAAATTGGGCGTACTATGGTCATCGCCCTTTGGTCTTACTCATGAACTCACAAAATATTTTGTGTTGTGGATTCTCGAAGATGCCAATGAATTGAGATGGTCGAAGACTACCTACACATTGCCGTCTTATTGGAAGAATCTAGTTGCGAATAACTCTCTATACATTGTCGGGATGACTAGTGCAGGTGAAATTGTGTTATCGACATGCTATCTAAAGATTCTAAACTATCCTTTCTACATTGTCTACTACAATGTAGTGAAAAAGACTGCAGGAAAAATTGAAATCCAGTTTGGGAATATAGCTAAGAGGGCTAAAAACTCAAGGATCTATACATTTATTGACCATGTAGAGAATGTAGAGCGTATGGATTAAGACTTTATAAGAGTAATAGTTTGGCCTTTAAAGTTTGTACTCTTAAACACAGTTTATTATATGACTATTTTTTATGTGTTACTTTAACAAAGTTTCTCTTTACGGAAACTGTGTCCATAAGGATCAATGATTGGAGTAAGGTATATATATTTTAAACTTTTCTTCTCGTCAACAACTAACTTTTGTGTCTTTGTGAATTCTATTATGTAAGTCATACATAATATTAAACATAGAATTTGATCCATGGCATGTTAAACCGGTCTTAACCATTATCCAACCTCGTCTGCATAGAATCTAGATTCTCTGAACGAGAGGGCACATGTTATTTCAGCAAAAACATACAGAACTTCGATCTTCCACACTGAAACAACGCATGTAACAATGAATAAATGATGATTCTCACAATCAAACAGTTGTAGTGTATGAGATGTCAAATGAACTGTCTAACAAAGCTTCCTCTATAGAAACCAATAAAATAGAATTTTATATTTTCAAAATCGGATTCCAACTTTGGATCAGTTTCATTTTCTTTCTAGTTTCTACTAATTGCAAAGAAAAAACAACGAAAATAGGAAATTCGTACGACGTCGTACAGTTTCTTGTCGAACAAGAAAGCAAGCTTTGGACTATATAATTTTTGAAATATACAAACGCCACTCATACTATCATGTCAAATATCACACTTCCACAAATATCATCGGACCGGTGAAGTCTAACCGGTTTTGAGTTCTCGCTGGAATTGTAGTGCAGCCCGAAACCAAGTGGATACAATGGATCATACGAGTTGGCATCAGCGGTTAACGGCAACAGGTCAACGCAATTAAACCAACTTACTGGTAACTTCAATTCGAAATCATAGAAATGGCTTCTCAGAATTGTTTTCTCCTAGCATTCTATCTGATCCTTTCATCATTGTCTACTACAATATGGAGAGGAACTCGATCACAAGTGTTAAAGTCCAAGAGAAAGGACATGCTTAGCTTTAAGGGTCAAAACATATCCAATTATTTATGTGATAGTGCATAAAAATAATAAAATTCTATTAACTATTTTATCTACTTTAATAAATTACAAATTGCATCATCCCAATTCTATATCTCGACTAATTTATAAATTAAATTAATTATACGTTTAAAATATAAGATACAAACACAATTCATCAATCAATCTAATTTTTATATTAGATTAACAATCTAACTATAGACTCACATCATCAAAAACACTACCTCCTTTCGATAACACGAGTTAGAAGTTAGAACCTAATAAACACCTCTTCAAAAAATTGTTGTTTCCGATATTTTTCACGTGAATTAAAATTTTTTGTTTAAATTTACTAAAAGGTCTATTTAATAAACTACCAAGTACCAATTATAATATAATGAATTAAAACTTTAAAAGATATATTGAACTACATGTGGTCAAATTTGTTAATAAGTTATATATAGAAGAAACAAATGTAAACCGTTTTTTTTTGTTAAACAAACTTTTTTAAGAGAATATTTTTTTTTTAAAACGGCGAAAGCATAAATGCATTTCTCAATTCATTTTATCCAAATTAGTATCGTAGCGCGAAAATATATGGTTAGCTCGGAAATAAAGAAACAATTACTTTCAAAAATAAGCTCGAAAATAACGGTTTTTGCGGGTGGTTCAATAAGCTCGTTTCAGTTTAGTTGTCGTTTTAAGATCTAAATTTTGTTTCATAATATTTTTATTTTTAGATTTTCAATGAAGATGTTTGATGAAAATTCTAATTTTATCCCTAATCCCTTGTTTTAATGTTTTGATCAATAAAAAATTAAACCAAACTGTATTTTTTGGTAGATTAATGAATCAATATATACACTTGGATGAACCTGAAAATTATCAAGATATGTGGAAAGTTAATTGACAAATGTATCCAACTCTTAGACCACATGTGTTCATTAATAAATAGATAAAAAAAAAAAAAAAATGAAACTCTCTCTGTCCACATCTCCTGAAAAAAAAACACAAGTCAGATGTTTGGGATTCTAGGGTTTAGCGCCGCCATGGGAAAACGGCAGAAGCAGCAAGTCACCGGCCGCCCAAGCAACTCCCCAAGAGAAAACTCGAAGGAGGTGCCAATTGATCTCTTGATTGACATCTTCACAAGATTACCAGTGGAAGACGTTGCGAGGTGTCGTTGCGTGTCGAAGCTTTGGTCTTCCATACTACGTCGTCGAGATTTCACCCAACTGTTCCTCAAAATCTCATCGACTCGGCCTCGTATACTATTCACCTTCCTTTACAACGGTAGGCGAATCTTTTACTCCATACCTCAAGATCTAGATCCAGACCGCAACAACTACTCCTCTCCTATAATTCCCTATTACCAGATGCATTTCCCTAAAGGTTTGGGTTCTTCCGACAAGGTTTGTCCCCCTATACTTGGCTTGATCTGTAACAAATCTAAGAAGCCGTTGATCTGCAACCCTAGCACAGGAGAGTACATGTCTTTACCCAAAGCGAGGAATGAAATGAGTCCCTTTTTTGGGTATGATCCTATCGACAAACTATTCAAGGTATTGTGCCTGTCCGATGATTTTGTGTTTCAAGTTTCAACATTAGGAACGTCCGGAGAAGAAATGACCTGGAGAATGGTCGAATGTCCGAAACGTCATCAACCTGTAAGTGCTGATATATGCATTGATGGGGTATTGTATTATTTAGCTAAGCGCGTGGGAAATATATCTACACTACCTCTTATGGTAGTTTGCTTTGATTTTAGATTGGAGAGATTCACGTTTCTAGATTTGTTGTTAATAACTGTGAGTTCAGCTCTCATAAATTACAATGGTAAACTGGGCATACTATCGGCAAGTTCGTATCGTGTTGATTACAACACAGAAGCTATTGAGCTGCGGGTTCTAGAGGATGCTGATGAAGTGAAATGGTCAAAGACTGTCTACAAATTTCCATATTATTGGAAGGATCTAGCTGCGAAAACCTACCTACACATTGTCGGGATGACTACTACAGGTGAAATTGTTTTGTCGACATACTATGTACATAATCCTTTCTACATCTTCTACTACAATACAGTGAAGAACTCTGTGGTAAGAGTTAGAATCGATTTCGGAATTAAACCTTTGAGGGCTCTTAACTGCTCAAAGATTTTGACATTCGTAAACCATGTGGAGAATGTAAAGCTTATGGATTAGGGCTTTATAGCATAGCTAATGTAGCTTGCCTTCTAAGGTCGCATCCATCTTGTTCCCTTATTGTTTGAATGTATGATTGTTTGTTGTAAGCTATTTGAACTTTTCTTGTTGTAAGCTATTTTTAAGCAAATTTGAACTTTTATCTTCTTGAACAACCAACTTTATCTTTGTGAATTTTACTGTTAGGTTTAAGCCAGATTATCTGAAATTGAGGGCACACATGCTATTCCAACAAAAACGTATAAACATTAATTAATGAGGTGTGCAACAAAGATAAATTAATGAGGATTCTAATCATTCATTTCTTCTCACTATCAAAGATTTGATAATGATGTTTGTTTTGTTTAAGGGAATACTGTTTATTTGTTCCCCTATAGAGAAACCAATAAAATATAATTTCTATATTTCCAAAAATTTCACAAATCAAGCTACCAGTAAATCCTTAATTCAATCGGAATTCAATTTTGGATCAGTTTCATTTTCTTTTTAGTTTCCATTCATTGCAAAGAAAGAAAGAAAAAAACAACGAAAAGAGGAAATTTGTACAACATGCAGTTGCAGTGTCTTGTCGGACAAGAAAGCAAGATAATGACAGAAGATCACTAATACTCCATCAAATCAAATATGACACTTTCACACATTCCAGCAGACAGGTTTTGAGTTGTATTTGAGACCAAAACCAAGAGGAAATAATGGATCATAAGAATTGGCATCAGCCGTTAACGGCAACTGGACAACACGTCTGAACCAGCTCACTGGTAACTTCCCCTCGAAGTCATAATCTCCGGTCGTATATCACTTCGGTCTTTTCTCCAACTGATGCTTTAATGGCGTCCAAAAACGTACGTTGTGTGCACTACAAGAAATTTAGCCATTGGTAGCACATTGAAAACGCTACTATATCAATTTGGTAGCGTTTTCATGAACGCTATGACATGAGGAGCTATAATAGCCTCACCCCATATGATAGCATTTTTTTGAATGCTACGCTAGATGAACCTATTATAGCGATAATCGTTTGTTATAGGATATATTTTCTTAGCACTTGTTTCGTGCTATTATGTACTCTTTCATGGTTTTGTTTTAGTGCCGTAAAATATTTTATAATGACATAGATAAAATGCCATTGAATATTGTTTCGTCAAAATTGTGCACCTATTCACGATAATCAATTTTGGGATTCATAAAATCTATTGTGATACTTTGACAAGAAACAAAAATTCATAAAATATCAATGCTTTTCCATTAAAAATCCAAAGCATACAAAGTGAACTGATTAAAATCATGAACTCTAAAAGAGAACATGTAACCATCAAACCAAGTCATAAACAAAACACAAAGTCATGTCTTAAACAGATCAAGTTCTCAAACATAGCCGGCTAAACTTAAAAGCAATAAACATACTTCATCCATCAATTCAGAATAAGCAATTGACTTCACTCCTGAAAACAAAAATATCTTAGCTTAGTATGACATATTTTCCCACTTATGTAAAATCAAAGTACGAGCAAATTAATAACTACAAAGCTCACCATTACCGGTACCACGTTGCAACAGTCAATGCAAGGGCAAATAATCATCTTTATTTCTCCTTAAGCTGCAGCCACATACCGCACAAAATTCCAAGTACCTCTCTCATAACCAAGATCAGCTCTTTAGTAAAGTAAGATGAAAGCAAAAAAATAATGAGAAACGTTAAACTCTCTTAATCCCTCATTAAACTTTTAACTATATATTGTTTTCACATACCTGTTAAGACACATAGTAAACCAATAAAAAACTCATATTTGGAAAACTCTTGTTCATGAACAGAAATGACAATTCTATACTGAATGTTCATGTTTAAAAGGTTAGTAAAAGATTTGATGTAGTGAATGTTACTATAATGATCAAATTATATAAACTTCTTTATTCATCAGTCAATATCAAAAGATGATAATGCAAAATTGCAGATGACTCGAAAAAAAAATTGGATTAAAGGATTGATTTGACATATTGATGAATAAAAAAGTTGGCTCGTGATTTAAAGCTAGTTCTTCAATGGGCCAAACCAAAACTTCTGTCTGAAAACATAAATCTCTAAACAGAAGAACACAATTGGTGTCTCTGTCCCTTTCATTACACAAAACAAACAAAAAATGGATCTCATAGAGAAACCAAACTCTCTTAATGAGAAATGTTAAACTCTCTTAATCCCTCATTAAACCCTCAACTATATATTGTTTTCACATACCTGTTAAGATGAACTCATGACTTTTCGACCATTATAGTATCTTACCCATGAGCAAAACATAACAAACCCATAAGAATAACTCAAACACCAAAAAAACACATTGACATTCACATTAACAAGATTAAATAGTCATGTAATAAACCAATCAAGAACTTAAAGTCAGAAACAATGAAACCCACAAATAAGACACATAATAAACCAATTAAAAACTCATAATTGGAGGTCGACTAACCGCCTTAAGCTTGTGAAGATTGGCTTTGTGAATTAAAGTTGTCTTCACCCCAAAAAGAAACGAGATCCAACAAACTAATAGCAACAAGATCCAACCTGCAAACTAATAGCATGAATGTCTCGATTTCTATTGTAATAAACAAAAAAAAACAAAAACAGATTACAAACAATATAAGAACCATAGCTCGAAGAAAGTCGATAACCTGAAGATTGTAAAGCAGATTGATTCTCTTGCTTATGTTCGTATTAGGTCCTCAAAGATATCTCTAGGGCTTCGATTCTTGCTACAATGAGAGTTAATGGAAAGTAATTAGAGAAATCAAAGACACTGAGAATGACGATTAAATCTAGAGTTCATTACTCGAGAAATCATAAATTGATTACCTTTCATGGGTTTCTTATTCGAAATCTTCAGGGTGGACTAGAGCGACGGAGAGAACACCAGCTCAGGCAAGAGGAGGGCTGATTCCTTTTCGAACCCAGAGGTAGATCGAGGCGACGGAGCTAGGTTGAGAAATGACTGAAATCGACGGAAATCGAGGCGACGGAGGTTGAGGAATGAGAGGAAATGGGTTTTTTGGTGACCGGAAAAGGGAATCGTGGTGGCGACATAGGTTTAGATTTTCAGAGAAAAATGATCTAATAAGTGTTTGCTTTTGTCTAAGAGTTTTGGCAAGAGTGAGAGTGGCGGAAAAACCTAAGTTTTGGTTCACTGTTTTGCCTCCAAAATGATTTTCTAGCTATAGTAGTGATATTTGGGTTCCCGCTTAATGAAATTTTTTTCCAACACTAATTTAATGCTACAATAGAGTTCACATCCAATTTTGACACTTTTAGTAGTAGTTAGTGAATTAGTGCTACAATGGTTTGCTACCAATGGCCAAATTTCTTGTAGTGTGCCTTCAAGTTCAGACCAAGATAGCTAGATACGTTTTGATTAAATTAACAACAACATCTAATAGTCAATGCGATTGGAGTCGCTTTAATTACCGATTGTGATTCTGCCGCTTAGACCAAACCATGCATTTGTCCTTCCTCCCCACTGATATCCAAGATTGTCAGCTTGCGTTCCAGTGACTATAATTCTATTGGCATTGCGATCTAGTGACAGAAATTGACTTGTCTGAATTGTTTTCTCCTGCCATTCTATCTGATATTTTCTTTATTTTCTTCTACAATATAGATAGGAACTCGACCACAAGAGTTAATTTCCAAGGGAATGGACCTACTTAGGGTCAAACCATACTATAGATTACCAAAATATATCCAATTGTTTATGTCATAGTGCATAAAATAATAAAATTCTATCAAATAGTTTATCCATTTTAATAGATTACAAATATCATCATCCCTATTTTATATTTAAATTATGTTATAAATTAAATTTCATGTGATTAAAATTTAAGATATAAACACAATTCATATTATTTCAAAATAAATACATGGTTTCTAACTAAAACACAATCAGTCTAAAATGTATATTGGCTTAACAATTTAAGTATTTAACTTACACTCTAGATTAACACCAATAAAATTTTATAAGGATAACAAATTATATATTTAAATGATAAATAGACATTATGCTATAGCAGGAATTAGAGCCTAATGAACACCTCTTAAACACATTAACAAATTGGAAAAACAAAATACTCCATCCCTTTGATAAAAATTATTGTTTCGGATATCTTTTATGTGAATTAAATTTCTTGTTTAAATTTACTAAAATGTCTCTATTTACTAAACTATCAATTAATATAATGAATGAAAACTTTAAAGATATACTATTTGACTACATGTAGTTAAATTTGACAACATAGTCAAAATGGCGTGAAAAAATATACTCGGGCTATGCTGTCAAAATGGTGCGAAAAAATCACGGTTTTACCATGGTCATGTAGTCAAAATGGTGCGAAAAAAATAACGGTTTTACTCGGGTCATGTAGTCAAGATGATGCAAAAAATAACGGTTTCCCGAATGTTTATATTATAGCCTTATATGCACCTAAAAGAAACTAATTTTTGGTAGATTCATGAATTAATATACATTTGGATGAACTTGAAAATTATATTGGAATTGACAATGTGTCCATTTCTTAACCTCCAGTGTTCCTTAATAAATAGATAGAAAATCTTAAAACTCTATATGTCCACCTCTCCTTAAAAAAAAAAAAAAAATCGATGTTTGGGATTCTAGGGTTTAACGCCGCCATGGGAAAGCGGCAGAAGCAGCAACTCACCCCCCGCCCAAGCAACACCCCAAGAGAATACTCAAAGGAGATACCAATTGAGCTCGTGATTGACGTTTTCTCAATATTGTCCATTGAAGACGTTGCGAGGTGTCGTTGCGTGTCGAAGCTTTGGTCTTCCATACTACGCCGTCGAGACTTCACCCAACTGTTCCTCAAAATCTCATCGACTCGGCCTCGTATACTACTCACCTTCCTTCACAAAGGTAGGCGGCACTTTTACTCCATACCTCAAGATCTAGATCCAGACCGCAACAACTACTCCTCTCGTATATCTGCTTATTACCAGATGCATTTCCCTAAAGATTTGGGTTCTTCAGACCAGGTTTGTCCCCCTATACTTGGCTTGATCTGTTGCAAATCTAAGAAGCCGATGATATGTAACCCTAGCACAGGAGAGTCAAAGTACATTTCTTTACCAAGTGCGAAAACAAAGAGGGTTAAGATGAGACCATATTTTGGGTATGATCCTATCGACCAACTATTCAAGGTATTGTGCGTGTCCAGTGATTATGTGTGTCGAGTTTCAACATTAGGAACGAAAGAAGTGATGTCTACCTGGAGAAAGGTCGAATGTTCGATATCCCATCAACCGTTACATAGTGAGATATGCATGGATGGGATTTTGTATTATTTAGCTAAGTGTATGGGCAGTGGAACTCCAACACCTTATATGGTAGTAGCCTTTGATGTTAGATTGGAGAGATTCAAGTTTCTACCTGTGGAGTTAAACATTGTGGGTTCAGCACTCATAAATTACCAAGGTAAGTTGGCCATACTATGGCAAAATTTGGGTGGTATCTATCAACACATACAAAGTTTTGAGCTGCGTGTTCTAAATGATGTTGATGAAGTGAAATGGTCGATTATTATCTACGAATTGCCAGATTATTGGAAGAATTTTGCTGTGGAGACGACCTACCTATACATTCTCGGGATGACTACTTCAGGTGAAATTGTTTTGTCGACATACTATGTACATGAACCTTTCTACATCTTCTACTACAATACAGTGAAGAAGTATGTGGTAAGAGTTCAAATCGATTTCGGAATTGAACCTTTGAGGGCTCTTAACTGCTCAAGGATTTCGACATTCTTAAACCATGTGGAGAATGTAGAGCTTATGGATTAGAACTTTATAGCATAGCTAATGTAGCTTGCCTTCTAAGGTTGCATCCATCTTGTTTCGTGAAACTAATACCTGTTCGGTTATTGTTTAAATGTTCTATATATGTACCAATGTTTGTTGTAAGCTATATGTTTGAACTTTTCTTGTTCTAGGATATTTTTAAGCTATTTGAACTATTTTCTTCGTGAAATTTTACTGTTAGTTCTATTTAATTAAACATAGAATTTGATCCAAAGCCTGTTGAATCGGTCTTGAACCATTATCCAACCTCTAGTACTGTACACGGTGTACGTAAAAGCTAGATTCTCTCAAAGAGAGCGCACACATGTTATTTAAACAAAAACGTATAAAAAATAATTAATGAGGATTCAACAAAAATAAAAATCAATGAGGATTCTCATTATTCATTTCTTCTCACCATCAAAGATTTGTTGATGATTTTTGTTTTGTTTAATTTAAGCCTTAAGGGGATTACAAAAGACGCAAACTATTGTAGTGTACGCTTTGTCAAATCAGAGATTCGTCTACAGAAAAACCGATAAAATAAGATTTTCATATTTCCAAAAATTTCACAAATCAAGCTACTACTAAATCCTCAATTTCCAGAAAAAATCGGATTTCATTTTCTTTCCAGTTGACTATTTAATTATAGAAATTTATAAACGCCACTCACACAGTCACACTCCATCATATCAAAATATCACACTTTCACAAATTTCTTCAGACTGGTGAAGTCAAACCGGTTTTGAGTTCTCGCTGCAATTGTGTTAGAGTAAAATTCTTTAGAGGTAATGAAAAAGTATTTAAAATGTCTTGTTTTGATTAATTTACTAAAATGTCTCTACTAAATAAACTACTAACTAATTATAATGAATGAACAATTTAAGATATATTTGACTATATGTACATTAGTTAACTTTGAGTACATATAGTCAAAATGGTGTGAAAAAATAACGGTTTTATCCTGGTATTTTCATATTTTATAGCCTTATATGCATCTATAAAAACTATTTTTGGTTGACAAAAAAGGAATAAAATCATGAAATAATATATACACTTGGATTGATGTTGAAAATTATCAAGAATGATGGAATTGACAATGTATCCATCTCTAAGACCACCTGTGTTCTGTACTAAATAAATAAAAAAATTTTAAAACTCTCTCTGTCCAGGTCCAAATCTCCTTAATTAAAAAAAAAAAAAAAAACAGAAGTCGCTGTCATGTTTGGGATTGTAGGGTTTAGCGCCGCCATGGGAAAACCGCAGAAGCAGCAAGTCACCACCCGTCCAAGGAACACCCCCAGAGAAATCTCGAAGGAGATACCAATTGATCTCTTGATTGACGTTTTCTCAAGATTGTCCATGCGAGAAGTTGCGAGGTGTCGTTGCGTGTCGAAGCTTTGGTCTTCCATACTACGTCGTCGAGATTTCACCCAACTGTTCCTCAAAATCTCATCGACTCGGCCTCGTATACTATTCACCTTCCTACACAACGGTAGGCGAATCTTTTACTCCATACCTCAAGTTCCAGATCCAGACCGCAACAACTACTCCTTTCCTACACCTTATTATTGGGTATCATCCTCTCCTATATCTGCCTATTACCAGATGCAGTTCCCTAAAGATTTGGGTCCTTCCTACTCGGTTTGTGCCCCTATACCTGGCTTGATCTGTTGCAAATCTAAGAAGCCGATGCTTTGTAACCCTAGCACCGGAGAGTCAAAGTACATTTCTTTACCAAGAGCGACAACAAAGATGCTTACCGTGAACACTTCATTTGTATATGATCCTATCGACAAACTATTCAAGGTATTGTGCATGTCTGATGATTGTGTGAGTCGAGTTTCAACATTAGGGACGGAAGAAGCTACCTGGAGAACAGTCGAATGTTTGATACCCCATCTACCTTTACGTAAAGAGATGTTCATGGATGGGGTATTGTACTATTTAGCTCTGCGCCTGGACCATGAAACTTCAACACCTTATATGGTAGTAGCCTTTGATGTTAGATTGGAGAGATTCAAGTGTCTACCTGTGAATCGGAGTTATATAAACATTGCGTGTTCAGCACTCATAAAGTACCAAGGTAAGTTGGCCGTAGTATGGCTAGATGGTAATGCTATTCAACAACATCAACAATTGGAGCTGTGTGTTCTAAATGATGGTGATGAAGTGGCATGGTCGGGTATTATATATGAATTGCCATATTTTTGGTATAATCTAGCTGCGGATACCTACGTATACATTGTCGGGACGACTACTGCAGGTGAAATTGTGATGGCGACAAGCCATCCACGGGAACCTTTCTACATCATCTACTTCAGTACCGTGACTCATACTATGATAAGAGTTGAAATCGAATTCGGAATTGTAGCTTTGAAGCCTCACTGCTCAATGATTTCGACGATTTTAAACCATGTAGAGGATGTCGAGCTTATGGATTAGGATTTTATAGCATATCTAATGTAGCTTGCCTTGTAAGGTTACATCCATCTTGTTCGGTTATTGTTTGAATGTTATATGTATCAATGTTTGTTGTAAGCTATGTTTTAGCTATTTGAACTTTTCTTGTTGTAAGCTATTTGAACTTTTATCTTCTTGAGAAACCCTTTGTCTTCGTGAATTTTACTGTTAGTTTTATATATAAAATTAAAAATAGAATTTGATCCATAGCTTGTTGAATCGGTCTTTAACCATTATCTAACCTCTAGATTTTCTGAAAGAAGGAATTTGGTAACAAACATACAATCAATTAATGATCATTCTCATCATTCATTTATTCTCACTATCAAACAGTTGATGATGGTTACAAAAGAGGCACACGGTTGTCGAGTTGTCAAATCAACTATGAACTATCTAACAAAATTTTCTCTGTAGAAACCAACAAAATAGAATTTTACATTATCATATATTTCACAAATCAAGCTACCAGTGAAACCATTCCAGAAAAAAAAAAAAATCGGATTTCAATTTTGGATCAGTTATCATTTTCTTTCTAGTTACAATTTATTGCAAGAAAAAAAGAAATTCCAAAAATAATAGAATGAAAATATGTAATTTGTACAATAGTTTCTTGTCGAACAAGAAAGCAAGATAATATAGAAGCAAACAGAATTGTGAACAGTGATTTTATTGGATTTTGGTTTTGATCACTTTTCAACATTATTGGAATTTGTTTAATTATCAAATATCACACTTTCACACATTCTATCAGGCTGGTGAAGTCAAAACCGGTTTTGAGTTCTCACCGGAATTGTAGTTGAGACCAAAACCAAGAGGAAACAATGGATCATACGAATTGGCATCAGCTGTTAACGGCAACTGGTCAACGCGTTTGAACCAGCTCACTGGTAACTTCCCCTCGAAGTCATAATCTCCAAAAATGACACCACTGATCCCTTGCCCTTCGGTTCCAGGCAGCCAAGCAGCGACCAGAGCCTCAGCCTTTTCAAGAACTGGCGGCTCAAGAACCATAGGCCGTCCAGAGAACAAGACCACTAGAGTCGGGATTTTCTCTGCAACCGCGGTTACAATGTCGTTACCATTTAAGGGTATTGTGAGTTCCGAGTTATCTCCCAATGTCTCTGCGTAGGGAGTTTCCCCCACTGCAACAATGGCGTAGGAGAAGCCTTGCACCGAGGCTAAAGTTTCTTCCGAAGGAGTCTTCTCGTAGATCACTTCAGTCTTGTCTCCAACTGCTGCTTTAATGGCGTCCAAAAGCGTTGTGCCTGCAAGTTCAGACCAACAAAGATACGTTTTGATTAATTTACCAACAACATCTACTAGTCTCTTTGATTGGAGCCGCTTTAATTACCGATTGTGATCCTGCCGCTTAGACCAAACCATGCCTTTGTCCATCCCCCGCACTGATATCCAAGATCGTCCGCATGCGTTCCAGTGACTAGAATTCTCTTGGCATTGCGATCTAGTGGCAGAAATGGCTTCTCAGAATTTTTTCGGTTCTTCAGGAGCACTAACGACTTTCTAACTGATTCACGCGCCAGTTCTCTATGTTCCTAGAGTCATGGAAAAACAGAGTCAATCATGTTCTGGCCCCAGCACTCAGGTCTAAATCTAATGGCATTCTGTACAAGAGACCTCACCTTGCAGCCAACAGTACCCAATAAAGACCGGTCCGTGAGAGGATGTTCAAAAAGACCCGCAACAAACTTCACTCTGAGTATTCTCTCAACAGCATCATCGATCCGAGACATAGTTACTTCCCCTGACTCCACCAAATCTGTGAGGTCCTTTATAAACTGTTCATACTTGAAAGGCACCATCACCTGGAGTAACATTGATTAATAATCTTCTCTTCATTACTCATATGATCAAAATTCATTAAGAAGGGGTTTCATTCAAACTTTACCATGTCCACTCCAGCATTAACTGAGGTTTTCACGCAGTTGCGGTAGTTAGAACCGAATGGCTCGCTAAGCCGTTCCAAAGCTTCCCAGTCAGAAATGACAAATCCCTAAAAACAACAGCAAAGGCAACCAGCTTAAATAACACACCTCTAGCTTATTTAGCTATATTCAAATCATATTTTAGTCCAACCTTGAAACCGAGTTTCTGTTTAAGAAGTTCGGTTAAGAGGAAATAGTCGGAATGAAGTTTACTTCCATTCCAACTGGAGTAAGATGCCATAACCGTAGAGACTCCCTGAGCAAGACAATTCAAATATGGTGCAAGATGAATCCAACTCTTCGTATGACACAATGGTGTTCCCTTCGTTTATGCCCTTATCGGTACCACCATCTCCAACAAAATGCTTAGCGCACGCGACCACATTGTTTCTATCACATAGCGAACAAATCCTTGAGAAATGAGATCAAACCTATAATAACACAAAATCTAGCTAGAAGTATATATACCTTCCTGCAAGAAAAGGGTAGCCATTAGGATGTTCTTTGGGTGGCTCGCCTTGTAGACCCGAGACAAGCGTACTCAACTCACAAATAATGTCAGTATCTTCACTGTAACTCTCATAGGATCGCCCCCATCTCGGATCTCTCAAAGCCTGTCAGAAAGATTAAGAATATAAAAAATCTCTTTCACTTTTTTCTTCCATTCCTCTTGTATATATTCTTGAATTTCTTGTTAGGAATTCTTCCTTTTATAGACTTCTAAGGATTAAGCAAATTCTCATTTATTGAACACATCTCATACTCAATGGGAAACAACACACATATTTGGCATTAGGATACGAGAAATGCCAAATAACACACATTTTCAAGAAACACTCAAAGATATCCAACCAAAGGCTCCATTCAGTTGACTAAGCTATAAAGAACTTACGGCCACGCATGGAGCAAACGCCCAATGAGCGCCAGACGCTCTTACTTCAAGTGCTGTTGCAGCCCCAATTCTTCTGATCAAATCTGCATCTCTATCACATTTAACAACCACTTTGTTCAAATACTACTAGGGTATGGAGCAACATTACAAGACCCAAATCATCAAATACTTATGTTACAACCTATAGTTACATTTCTAGCCCATTATATGCAAATCTTTCATTCTTTTGTCCAAATTTTGTAGTCAGTTCAAAGTGAAAGAGAATGGTAAAAAAACCTAGTGGCTCCAAGACCGATGTTGTGGGGAAAGATAGTGGCTCCGTAGACATTGTTGTTGCCATGGACAGCATCAATGCCATAGATGATCGGAATTCCTAAACGCGACGCTAACGCTGCATTTTGGTAACCGTCGATCATATCAGCCCAATCCGACGTCTTAGCATCCTCGAACGGCCAACTTCCTCCACCGTTCAGTACACTACCTATATCCCCATTACTACTACTATCACATTTTGTATCTTCCTTAGCAATTAATTCAAAATTTAAATTTTGGAAAATGGACTTGGGAAACTACAAAGTTTGGTCGTTGACCAAAAACAAAAGTGGTCAGTGGTTGTGAATACCGATGAAGTAATCTGTAATGACGGGATAAGTAGTGACGACGCGTTCGATCTGAGTCATCTGGCCTATCTTTTCCGGCAGAGTCATGCGAGAGAGAAGGTCCTTTACACGCGCCTCCACTGGCGCGTCTTGGTTCTTGTAAACGCATGTTTCATTGCTGCCTTCCATACTTTTTTGTTTTTGTTTTTGTTTTTCTCTTCTTCTTATTTTTTTATCCTTCTGTTACAAGTTAGTTTGCAACTTAACCTTTATATATTCCCCAGGTGGAGGATACGTGGATTAGTTCTGCCGTAGCCGACTATAGTGGATCAGTTCAATGATAAAGAATAGAGATTTAAGTAATGATGTGAATCTTTCTCGAGTTTTACATAAAACAATTTCAATTATAAAGGGAAACGTTTAAAGTCCTAAATTTGAATGATCAAGTCAAATCTAGTATAAATCACAACCTAAATATATGATATAGCAAAAAGGAACCCTAATTGTCATAATCTAATTATTTAAACATCCTAATCTAGTTCTAAGGATTCTTAAATCATATTGATAAAGAGATACCGTTTAATTTTTTAAAATGGCTGGTATTTATTCGAAGATTGCTGGCAAAGACAAATAAAGAAAGACTGTCAAATTTTTCTAAAAACATAAAAAAAAATGTTGGTCTTTGATTAATTAATCTACTATACATTTTTGCAGCAGTTTTTGGGGTACCCAAATCGGGTCAAATTTGTTTAATTTTGACCCGGAAATCTTCAATCGGATCTTTCCTTAAATTTTGGCAAAATTAAAAAACGAAAATAATTAATAAAATCTAAAATATATATACTTTCTCAACTAATTACTATATTTAAACGCTTTATTTATGGTATATTCTCCACGATTTTTATAGATAAAGAAATCAAATATGATGATTTAATGCTAATATAACAAATTTGCACTAATTTCCTAAAACCTCTCTACCTAATTTAAACATAAATATATGATTCTTATTTCACTTTTATTTGATCTTATATTTATATTATTTTAAATTATTATAAAATATATAAATAGTTAGTAAATTTTAGTTTTTTTTTTTTTCTGCATATGTTACAATTCAAATTTTTTAAAACGGACATATATTACTCAATCGATGAATAAAAATATGTGTGTAATCTATATTAACATTTTTAAGAACAAATTGAGCATTTAATCATGTCGTTATTTTATTCAGACCCGAAATTGAGTCATTCGGATCTTTCTTTAATTTTTACAATTATCTAAAATGGGACAGTATATCACGGGTGAAATCCTAATTAGTATTTTAAGATACAATTATAAATTATTTTTACGGGTTGGTCCAAAAACACACACTAATTTAAAAATATACATGGAAACTATTTGAAAGCAACTTTCAAATTAACTCGAATTATATGACATTTAAATAAAAGTGTTATTAAAAAAATAACAAAATGATGTTTAATTTCAATTTAGATTATATGGTTGGACAGGTTTGGGTCAATATTAATACGAGACAATATACCACAGGTGAAATCCTATAAATAACAAATCAAAATACAATTATACAATCTTAAACACTAAACAAAACAAATACAACTTAAAAAATTTTATTTTAGATACAACGCATGTGATCCGCGGTATACAACAAAAAATATTATACACAATAAAT